TGCGCCTCTCGCCCTCCCCGTGCCTCTCCCTGGCTCCCCCCGCATTATGTCATCCTCTTTTTGTTTCCCTGTCTCTTCAGATCCCACCAAAGCTCGACCTGCCCTCGCCGCGCGGCTGGACAGCCCGGCTGGTCGGTGAGCATCCGTACCCTCAGTAGGTCGGGTGGAGCGCAGTGGGGGCAGAGGGGCTCGCCCCGGGCAGAGTAGAGTGCAGACCCCCAGCAAGAAGCTTTAGAGAGTGCCCACATCAGCAAACAGCTCACCAGATGCCTGACTTGTTGCCAGAGCCGGGCTTGGTGTTTCGGGAGAGCCCAGCACCCTTGGAGCTCCCCGGGGGAGCTGTCACACCCCACCAGAAGGCCAGGCTGGGCAGCTTTGCTCTGGGAGCTGTAACTGTGTCAGCAGCACCTCTCCTTGCTGCCCAAATGGCAGCTGAACCCTTCTAACAGTCTGACCCAGTTACCTTTTGAAACAGAAGGTGATAAAGGGTGCAGTTTGTTCAGCACACTGAGCTCCAGCTCTAGGGTGGCCCAAGCAGCGTCTGGAGCAATTTCTTTCACTGTTTTCCTAAAAATATTTTAATGTACCCGATTTAAAAGCAAATAAATTGTCTTCACCACAAGCTGCAGTCCTCCTTCTGGCCATTTTCACATTTATCCATATATTGTGTGGCTCAGAAATCCACCCAGATCCTAGAACAGCATTAATCTTCTAAGACTGATGCTAAGATGGACAGAATACCTGCCAGCATTATTCCTCTCTGCAGGGATTAGGCTTTGAACCTGCTCAAAACAACCCTTTAGACAGCTCAGCCTTCTGCAGTTATGTTGATGGGAACATTAAAATCTCTGTCAAAGGATGATGCTGCAGTCCTGCAGCTTTCAGCTGATTGGGTTTGTGTTGAGTGTGTTGGGTTTTTAACAGATTATGAAGCAAGAAACCCGAGTTTAAAACTTGTTTAAAAGATAAGTAAGCTCACTTCTCCTTCCACCCATGTCTTCCTTCAGGCTTTGTTGCTGCTTTCTGATAAAAGCTGCAGAAAGAGGAGTTGTGTGTGTGTCCAGGTGCAGTGTCTAAGTGTGTGCTCGTGGCATCTCCTGTTTCTGTGGTGCGTTTGGGTGCTGCAGACAGGCCTGTCCCACCTCAAACCCCAACTGACGGTTCTGCCTGACCCCAAGATTTTCTCTGTGGCACTAAGTGGGCCAGACTGGGCCTTTGAACTTTGAACTCAGAGCTGTGGAGTTCTGGGGAAAACTGGGACAAATCAGGTGGGGCAAAGGGCGAACCACAAATTGACCTCTGCCCATTCTGCACAGTGTCCTCTGCACGAGAGCTCGTTCTGTCCGTCCTGGGTCTGTCACCGCTGCCATCCTCATACACAGTGAACACAAACATGCATGTTGTGCTTTAGCCCCCCTGCCTGTAGTTCAGCCAGGCTGAACCAGGTCAGTATTTGGATAGGAGACCTTCCAGGAGAGTTTACTTGCAGTAGGAAGCACAGTTCACTTACTGAGTCATGTTTTTCTATTACCGGAGTCTTGAGCCTTCTGGTCCTGGGGATGATGAGCTGTCGAAATTCCAGCAATAAAGCAAGTTCTTGAGCATTTTTGGTCATGATGGAACTTTTGGCAGCTTGCTGCAGAGTAGGAGAGTATCCTGGCCAAATTCCACCCGGGGTGATTACATTCAGCTGACTGAAAATGAGCAGTGGCAGTTGCTGTGTTTCACTGTTGGGCAGAGTGATTTCCACACAGGGGTTTAAATTTGTAAAGTGACTTCAGGTAAAGCAGAAAGGAAAAGACTTAAAGAAGTGTCCCTTTAACCCTCAGAGCTGATTCCTGAAGGCCTTGTGAGGCTTCTCATCCTGCTGTCACATTTCTTTAAATGCCAGTGGTCCAGCTGCTGGGGCACTGCTTGGAATGGCTGCCCCACGTCACAGGATGGTCTTCAGAACAGTGGTGCTCTGTAGAGTGCACATTCACATCCCCACACATCAAGCAAGGAAACAAAACAGAATGGGAGAAAAAAGAAACCATAAAAGAACATTCAAAGTTTTCTTTGTTAGGAATGAAAATACTGTGACAGTGCTGTTCAGGCTGATCCGTGGTTGGTGTTTTGTTCTCAAGAAAGCTGAGTGCTCCTTTGATTCCAAAAAGTAGAGAAACACTGATGTGAGATATGGAAAGCAACATGGACTTGTATTTCCTGTTATATATGTAACCCAATGTATAACAATTTTTTTTTTCTCTCCCTGACTTTCCCTCCTTTATTTTGTACCCAGATTTTCTTGCTCCTGTCTGAAATATGCCTTATAACCTTACAAGTTTTCAGAAGACCACTGTGTTTCACGGGGATAAAGAATATTGCATCTGCTTCATAGCAGGAGGATGTTGTATGTGTTACAGCTTAACTTTGTTCTACTTTAAACCTAGATAAAGGATGAAGACTGTACCATTTTGATTACCTCCTCTAGGGCTCAAAGAGAACCATTTCCCCTGCCCTCCATTTGCTAATGGCTCAGCTTGACCTCACTGGCACACAGATAAACGTGCTGCTAAACAAAAAATCCAGTAGCAGGAACCACCTCAATGCCCAAAGCTCCTCTGCCCCTGCTGGTGTTGGAGGCTCTCTGTGACCAGCTAAAAGCCGAATGACAAGAGTCTCCAGAGCTGCTCCTGTGAAGTTTGTGTGTGACTGGACAGTGCTGCCACCCCTGTGAGAGATGAGACCAAGACCCTGCACGGTGATGGCTCTGCGAGCTCCAGCTGCGAGGGTCGTGCACACCGAGCTCCATGCTTTGTCTCCAGAGTGATCTTCGTCCTTAAGCTCATCCCACTTCTTGTCACAAGATTTGCTTTTGGAATTTAGACCACCACTATTTCGCCCCCCCTGCCCCCCCCGTTTTGCACAAAGACTGTTAATAGGACTGTTAGTGGAATGAGCAAAGCCAGTATTCACAGGGTCTAACTCCGTACCAATAGCACCTTTTTGCCCCAGAATGCCTTACAAATGCCACACAGCACCCGTGCCCCGGTGTACAACTTGGCCTGACATTTCTCTTGGCTTAGGCACCACCTCAGCCTCCCCAGCTGACTTTTAGGGACGTTTCAGGCCGTAGCATCTCCTCCAGCGAGCCAGGCACCAGCTGCCTGTCAGGTCCGGGAGCTCTCCCCGTGGATGTGCTCGGAGCTGACGAGGCCATGCGCGCATCCCGCGGGCTGAGGCCGTCCCGCTGAGCTCCTGCAGTGCCCGAGGGATGGCAGAAGGGGGGGAGGCCGGCGCTCCTCCCGTCCGGCTCTGGGTGCGGCGCGTGGGGGTTTACTGCGATGAGCACCGCAAAACCTGGCTCGTGGCTGCGGAAGAGGCAAGTGTGTGCTTTGAGCTTCCCGGTGGTTGTGGCATTGCTGTCTCAGGTGCCCCTGCTGCGCTGCCGGTAACTGATTGTTGCTCTGTTTGTTGCTTTCCCCCAGGAGGAAGGTATGCTGAGGGCTCGGATCCAAAGAGTTCAGGTTCCCCTGGGTGAGGCGCTGCGACCCAGCCAGCTCCCCCCATCCCGGCTGCCTCACATGTGGCAGCTGTCCCAGGGTGAGCAGTACAGGGATAGTAACTCTCGCGTTTGGGAGATAGAGCACCATCTCATGGTAAGGATGGTGGCAACAATAGACCATAGTCATGCCTGTTTGTGAAGTCGTTTGAGATCCCTGAGGGACGGCAAAGGACTGTTGTTTTGTTGAAGTCCATTAGCTCAAGCACAGTTACTGTAGACGTATTGAACTTTTCCTTGTCACTTACAGCTTGGTGGTGTTGAAGAACTGCTGCTTAAACTCGTGCCTGGGGATTAATCTGGTATGTGCAGACATTACCCCTGCTTTGTACTGTGCACTGTTTACTCCCGGTCTTTCTTTAATATGAATTTTTGTCTTTCAGGAGCAGTGGCTCTAGGAAGATGCCATTGTCTGTTTTGTACAATAAAAGATTCTCTCTCCACTGAAATGCAGCCACCTCTGAGGTGGAAGCAGTTAAACAACACACAGCAACATCACACAAGAGTTTAGGACAGGCAGTGAAGAGGAGTATTGTGACCAAGTGAAACGTCAGGGGGAGTTCTAGGTAGGCAGAATGTAATTGCCCCAAGTGGAGTTTGGCCAGGATGCTGGAAATAATGCCCCAGTGATACTGAAAAGTGCTGTGGGCTGGTGATCTGTCAGAAATTGGAAAGGCAGCAGCTCCCTGGCTCTGAGCAGAGGCTGAACTGTGGCTCAGAGGGAGCTGAACTCCCACCACCACTTCCAGTGAGAGTGGTGCTTTCCTGTTGAGGTCTCCCATTCAACTGCTCGTACCACCAGCTTTTGCTTGGCTTTGTATCTGTCACTGAGGATCACAGTTACAGGTGTCACAGCTACAGAAAGTCAAATTGAGTGTAATCCTGCTTTCTAGGGATTTGAACAAGGTGGAGCTGCCCTCCAATCTGGTGGTGGGATTTTTTGGACAGAAGGAGGGAATTTCCTGGAACAAACCAAAAAAAGCCCTCCTTGTTGACTTTATGGAGAATATACATCTAAGCTTTGTTGGTTGTTTTTTTAAATGCCTTCTCCAGCTGTTGTTCCATGACTAACACTGAATCCTTGGTTGTGTAGAGCTCACAGAGAAGGCCTTCCCTTAAATATGTGGTTTAGTATAAGGTCTAGAGACAGAGAACTGTTAAAAACCAGTCAGACATGTTAATTTGAATCTTTCCTGGAATCTTGGTGCATCCAAGTGGAAAAAGACACATTGTGACCAGAGAAAAGAAAAAGGCCTTTAAATGTAGCAACATAAACCTTCCCATATTCATTGTCCACATTATCATCTTTTAGCCTGACACGGAGAGTTCTTGTGTATGCTGGCTGTCATCTGCAAGCAGCAATAGATGTTTTCTGAATGGTGACCGTGGGGGAAATTGGGACCTCTTGAAAGCTTTGGCTTTAAGACACTGTCTTCCCCCCACCCCCTGAAAAGCACCTTGTTTCTACAGTAACATTTTCCTATCATTTTAGTTCTCTGAACATGTCCAAGAAGGATCCGTGCCAGAAACAAGCCTGTGAAATACAGAAATGCTTGCAAGGTACCAAGTGTATTTTTATCTTTGGTGTCCTGATTTTTGGTGGAACTTAATTCTTTTAACTTAACCTTGTTGTCCTTTCACCCTGAGAAGGAAGGAAGCACATTAGGATCACCCGATTGCAAAGCAAACAAAATTATAATGTCTGATTTTAACAGAATTGCCTTAACTGTAACTAATGAGACCCAATTAGTACAAAACAGATAGTTAGTAATAATGTGCTCAGAGTGTTTTCCATGCTGGTGGTGAGATCCCAGGTGTAGTCCTGGGACTCAGCTCTGGGCAGGGGGAGTTATAATAAAGCTCTTGTAAGAGTGGTTAGTGAGGTAGCAGTTGGATTGTGTGAGAAGACTGCAGAGCTGCTCCAGGGGGCATTTTAAGAGCAGGTCAGACAGATACCTGTCAGGAATGGGTTGGGTGTATGTGATCTGTCCTCAAGGGATGAGATGGTCTCCCTCTGGAGACCCTTAACAGCTGGTTTTTTATTAGCTGAATGTTTGCAGGGGTGAGGGATGTTCTGTGACAATCTTTTTGGGGACCTGGAGTTGGGGAGAACAGGTTTTACTTGTGGAGGACAATATTTTAATAAAATGTTGGTTGCTTCTTGGAGAAGGGTTTGCCTTTTGGAATGAATAAGAGAATGAATAAGAGAAAACATTCCTCTGTGCCAAGGCAGCTGAGCCATATGGGAAAGAGTTCTTCCTAACTCACCTGGTGGAGCTCTCAGCACATTATGCTGCTGTTGCTTCTTTTAGTCTTTTAAAAGTCAGTGGTGGGGGTGGGGGGCGAGGCAGCTATGTAGTGGTTGTGGAGCTCATCCAGGGCAGCGTGGGTGGCTCTGCACGCCCTGTGTTCCCAGGCAGACAGGCAGGTGGTTATTAACTCAAGCCAGACTCAGCCTGCTCACATCCCTGCAGGGCTTCTCTCCAAGAGCCTTTGGCCAGAGCTTTAGAGAGCTCAACCTAAAGAGAGATTTTTGTAGAGCAGAGAAAACGATGAAATGCCTGTAAGCAGCTCTTGCTTGTCAGAGAAACCTGCTGCCCAGCTGGGTGTATGCCCTCTGGGAACAAAGCCTGTTCCTCTCTGCAGACTCACGTCTCCTTCATCTCTTCCAGCGAACAACTACCTGGAGTCCAAGTGTGAAACTGTGCTTCAGGAAATGCGGAAGTGCTGCGCCCGGTACAGCCAGGGCAGATCCGTCTGTTGTTCAGGGTTTGAGAGAGAAGAAAGGGAGAGACAGAAGTTTAAGGTGACTTCAGAAGGAATTCCCCCACCACCTCAGTAACACAATGCAGCTCCAGCGGGTGCTGGAGCATGGACTCACCTGCAGAGCTCGTCTGTGTTTTTTCAAGCCTTCTTTAGACTTTCAGGAGAGCCAGACTGCTCCTAGAACACACCGTTCGGCACACCAAAAAGTATAACAGTACCAACAGATGGCCTGGTTAACAAACTGTACCTTCTATACGAAAACATCATCTATGTTGCCTCTGCATCACACCTGTGAAAAGTCAACTCAGTGTTTTTAGAATGCTTACCTTACTCTGATCCATCCTTGCTCTTAAAATGGAGAATTGGAACCAAGTTATTCTGGCTCCTGGAGCGAGAGGTACAGGAAATGAGCTCAGAAGAGTGAGTTTAAATGTGACACATGAAACAAGCCCATCTTCACACAACAAAGGTATTGCTGCCATCATGCAGTAGTTCCAGACAACGTTTGCCTGTCCAGTGGTTTAAGCTCAAGAGTGGGAATCAGGTCTGATGATTGTTCCTAAGTCTTGCATAGATCATGAGTGACTACAAGTCACTTTGCCTAAGTGCCTCCCTTTGCCACTGGGCAGACCTGTTTATTTTATATTTGAATTGCCTACACGCTGCTATTTGCATGACAAAGATGTTACAGGAACATTATTTCAGGGATTGCTACAGGGATAGGATATTTTTTTAAAAAAGCAATATTCATTTGAAAGATCTGACTGTTGATACAAAATTTATAAATTATGTCTAATTGAACACCTTTTAAGCAATATGTTATGAACCCAGTCTAGTTCAACCTGCTGAAACCCAAAGGCCTGTCACAGAGCCCTGGGCTAGATCCAAGAACTGACTTAGGCGCTGCTTACTGAACAAGCAGTTGTAGGCACTGGTTTTCCACACAGCATTCCAGACTCACCCACAATCCGGCTGTGTCTGGACCCCAGGAGAGATGGCTTTTCCAGAAGCTCTCACCCATGCAGCAGAATTTCCTGTGACCTGTAGGAAGAGCTCAGTAGACAGGTTCCTGCACCGCCCTTCAGAGCTGTCTCGCTGTCCCCTGTAGCAGGAGTCCAGGCACCTCAATATCAGGCTCCACACCCACTAGGCCCTAACTCTGTCATTAGATCTAGCCGTCAAGGACTTTGTGCTGTGAGCAAGTACAACTTACTTATGAAATACAGCTTCTATAAACAGACCACTGAGGTCTAGGCACAATAGTTGTGTGTATTGAAGCCTAGAAGAGCAAACCATCTGTATTCACTGACTCTGAAATACCATGATACAAAATAAAACGACTGGAACAAATTGTGGTCTCGGCTTGGTTGGTTTGTTGGACAGTGTGGCTGCCAGAGCCACATGTGATATCATCATGTTTAAATAGAAGCTGCGTGATGTTTTTATAACTGGGGCTTAAGATCAGAATAATTTAGGGTTAGTCTTCCCTTCCCACTGCCCTCCCCCCCCCCCCAAAATAATCCCTTGAGACCAAACAGGGGGGTTTAGTACCCTTGAAAAGTAGGGGAAATTATGACAATGTTATGAAGCAGCTCAAATGCTAACAAGTAGCTAATTTTTTTCATTTTGCCCTACTTGAGCAGGAACAGTGAAAAGAAAGTCACTAATAGAAATATATATTTAGGCTTCTGTTGCACCCATGAAGAAGAAAAAGCCTTGCCTCCATGCCCATTTCTAGTTGGGTGGAATAAACTTGCTCAGCAGAGGCTCTGAACCCAGGCTGGCAACAGAATCACCTCCTGCCCTAGAAGCATCCCACTTCTTGGGAATATAGGTGATTGGTGCCAGGGTGATCAAGGAGAGGAATTTATTAAGGCAGCCCATGGTTACCCACATGGAAGAAGGAAGGCTGGTGGCCTCATTTATGTTGGAAAAGACCTTTAAGATCGAGTCCAACCCTTCCCCCAGCACTGCCAAGCCCATCACTAAACCATGTCCCTGAGCACCACATGTGCACACCTCTTAAATCCCTCCAGAGATAGTGACTCCACCCTGCTCTGTTGTGCAGCCTGTGCCAGGGCTGGACAACCCTTCCAGTGAAGAAATTTTCCATAATATCCAATCTAAACCTCTCCTGGCACAACTTGAGGCCATTCCCTCTTGTCCTGTCACTTGTTACCTGGGAGACTGACCCCCACCTGGCTCCACTGTCCTGTCAGGGGGTCCTGGTGGCCACAATATTTCTGGCACAAGCCAGGATGCTGTTGGCCACCTTGGCCACCTGGGCACATCCCAGACTCCTGCTACTGGACTGGCTGTAGCTGCTGCCCTGAGTCAAGCACAACACACAGAGTGAGACAAAAACATGCTGGCTCCCAATAATCCAACAGACCTCGCACACAGAAGCTATTAGAGCAAAACTGTTTAATAAAATATCACTTCAACAAGCATTTACATACAATATATAAAACCACTTTAAAAGCTTAATGTGTTTGAAATCTTCTCGCACTGTAACAGATGTCAGAAGTTGTTTAAACAAGACTAGAAGGAGCAGGAGTGGGGAGGGGAGGGACACCTCATCTTGGCACCTGCAACAATGAAAATGCACCCCCACAGAGGCTGATTCAGCATCAAAGCTTTTGAGTGTGAGCCCACAGCATCAAACGGTGCCAGCTACGAGCCCAACACTGGCACAGCAGAAAGATCTGCCACATCCCGATGTCCTTGTCCACTCC